CAGGATAAATACCAAGAAACACTCACCTAGACACATAAAAAAACTTTTGAACACCAACCATAAACAGAAAACTTTGAAGGTAGCTAGGGGCAGTGAAAATATCACAAAAACTAAAATGAGCAGGTTTCTCATCAGAAACTATGCAAAATCTGAAGACTGGAGTGACATTTTAAAGCACTGAGTGAAAAAAAATATCACCTAAGAATTTTATAACCTGTAAAAATACCTTTCAAACTTGAGGATAAAATAAAGACTTTTTCAGACAAACAAAAGCTAAGAAAATTCATTATCAGCAGATCTGCACTACAAGAATATTAATGCAAGTGCTTTAGGCAGAAGGAGTATGATATTGTATGGAAACTGGGTTTACACAAAGGAATGAAGGACATGAGCAATAGTAAATATGTGGTTAAATACAAAAGAAATTGTTTCTCATTCTAATCTCTTTAATTGTTTAAAGCAAAGATAACAAAGTATCAAGGAATCTATAATACGCATAGAAGTAAAATGTATGACAACAGCACAAAGGATAAGAGGAGATGAAATGCACTGATGTCAAATTTTTGTACTGCGTAACATGGTATTATTTAAAGGTAATACATATAAATTAGAAATGTATACTGTAAACCCAGAACAACTCCTAAGAAAATAAAACAAGAAATTATATCTAATAATACAATAGAGATAAAATGGGATCATTAAAAATACTTTATTAATCAAAAAGAAGGCAAGAAAGGAGGAAAAATTAAAAAACAGATAAGATATGACATAATAAAGATAAGATGGTAGATTTAAACGTAACTATATCGATATAATAAATAATAGACCTGAGATTGCCATATTGGATAAAAAGCAAGACATAACTACATGCTATCTGTGACAAACCCATTTTAAGTGTAACTATACAGAGAGGTTAAAGGCAGAAGGATGGAAAAGATATCCAATGAAAACAATAATCGAAAGGAAGCTGAAGGGGCTATTAGTAGCTACATGTTAATATCAGACTAAGACTTCAGAACAAATAATATTACAACGGATAGAGAGAGAGATTTTTCATGTTAAAGGGGTCAACTCATCAAGAAGACATAATAGCTTCATTATACAGAAAGAAAAACTGATAGAACTGAAGATTTTAGTCAGGTTTTATTGTATAAACCTCCTAGAGATCAACCCTCCTAGTGTTAACAAGTACAAATTCTGGACAAAATACAAAAAGCGATTACCAAAGGATTCTGAACAGTACACTAAAAGCATGCGGGCATTCAAAACGTGGAGCATCCAAGAGGGTGGGGGGCTTTCCTGCTTTTAGGGGCTTGGCCCTGATGGTGGGCATCAGTCACAAAGTAGCATGACTTAAGCAACTAAAACTGCAAAAAAAATCCTGACATCTTTCTAACTGGAGGAAAAAGAGAAAGGACTCTGGGTAGCCACGGCTGCCATAAGGACCGGTGAAGGGTTCCGGAGGAGAGAACCCGAGGAGAAGGGCCCTTAGCTCTGCGGATGAGCCCGCATGTCATTCGAGACGGCCCCTCCCTGGATACACACACAGCGCAGAATCAAAGCAGCACAGCAGAGCCTGGAAGAATCGCACTGAGGCTTCAAGTACAACCCACAGAAGGTGGCACAGCTTACGGTTAATTGCCAGGTAAAACAAGAACATCGACAGTCCTTAGAGGAGTATCAGAGAACCCAGATCCTGCACAGTATAACATCCACAACGTCTATTACAATTCACAGTTACTCATTATACAGAGAACCAGGAGGATATGACCCATCTCAAGGGGAAAGGCACTAAAGAGAGGCCGAATTCAAAAAGATGTAAATATTAAAATGTTCAGACATATAATCAATGGAACAGAACAGAGCACACACATACACAAAAAAACCACGCATATACGTTCAATTGATTTTCAACAGTAATGCCAAGGTATTTCAATGCGGAAAGGATATTCTTTTCAACACAGGTGGCTGAAACAACTGAATATCCATATGGAAAAAAAAAAAAAGAACCTTGAACTTTAGGTCATACAATATACAGAAATCAACTCGAAATGGATGACAGACTAAACAATAAGAATGAAAACTACGGTGTGGCCACTCTGACAAGCAGGCTGGCACCTCCTCAAAAGGGCAAATGTAGTTACCACGTGGCCCAGCAATTCTACTTCTAAATAGATGTTCGGAGGAATGAAGACACACATCCACACAAAAACAAGTACATACGTGCTCATAACAGCATTCTTCACAGCAGCCAAAAAGCAGACAACCCAAACGTCCGTCAACTGAAGAACAGATAGACTGAATGTGGTAAATCCGTACAATGGAAAGTTACTGGCTGATACACGCTACGACACGGGTAAACCTTGAAAACACATGATGTCATTTAGATGCAATGTCCAGAAGAGGCAAATCCACACATACAGAAAGTGGGTCAGCAGTCACTCAAGGGCTGGAGGACGACGGGAGGAGTGGAGGACTGCGGCTAACTGGCGGGGATTCTTTCTGAGGTGATGAAAATGCCCTAACGCTGACTGGTGATGGCTGCAGGGCTCTGCGCTGACTGTGTGACTGACATGGGTGAATTTATGGCACGTGGATCACAACTGAGTACCGTTATCACAAAACCAGAGAGCTAAAACTATTAAACTTTTACAAGAAAACATAAAAGATGTATGCCCTTGGGTTAGGCTGATTTCTTAGAGCACAAAAAGCATTATCCACAAATGAAAAAAACTGACAAACAGAACTTCATTAAAATTTAAAAGTCCTGTTCTTTGAAAGACACTGTTAAAAATAAAATAAAAAGACAAGCCACAGACTGGGAGAAATAGCTTACAAAACATCTATCTGATAAAGGACTTATATGCACAATACATAAAGAACTTTTATAATGAATAATAAGACAAACGACCCGTTTTTTTTTTTTACAACCCGATTTTTTAAATGGGCAAAAGAACTGAACAGATACTTCATCGATGAAGATACAAGAATGGCCACTAACACATGAAAATAAACTCATCATCATGAGTCACTAGGCAAATGCAAATTAAAACCACTATACCCACTAGAATGGTTAAAATTTTAAAAACTGAAAATACCTAGCATCCGAGAGGTTACACAGCAGCTGGAACTCCCCATTCCAGACAAAAATGCAAAAATGGTACAGCCTCTTTGGAAAACAGTTCGACAATTTCTTATACAGTTACATTTACACTTACCACGTGACCCCGTAATTCCGCTTCCAGCTACATATGTACTCAAGAGAAATGAAAACATATCTACATAAAGATCTGTACGTGAACGTTATTTCATGGAAGCTTCAGTCCTAACGGCCCTAAACTGGAAGCAAGTGAACGGATAAACAAACGGTAGTACGTCCATCCAATGAAACACCATCAGCAATTAAAGAAGGACAAACTACTGACACATGTAACAGTGTGTATCAATCTTAGAAGGACTACACTAAGCCGGACACAAAAGACTGCACATGGAGTGATTCCATTTATTTGACATTCTAGAAATGGCAAAATACAGTGACAGAAAGTGGACCAGTGTCCGACAAAGGTGGTGGCAGTGGAGAGGACTGACTGCAAAGGAGCCTGATGGGACATTTCGGGGTCATGAAAATGGCCTATATCTTGATAGTGGTGATGGCGATTTTAAAACTTATATACGTTTATAAAAACTCATGCGAGTGGACATTTAACATGGGTGAATGTTAATGTAGGTAATCTATGCTCGATAAAGTTGATTTTTTTTAAAAAAAGGACAATCAGTGGTTTCGTTCCTTTACTGAAGTCCACGGAGGTTCCCGAGGTCTCAGGTAATTCCCAAAAGGTCTCAACATCCAATCTGCTCTACTTTAGGACCTGACCTTGATTTCTACTTCTTACATGCCTTATGATTCAAAGTGCAGCACCGCTGAAACACAAAACTCTCAATCTTGTGTGTATGGTTATGAGAACACACTGACCGGGCTGACCTGAAACCTAAGTGCTGTCATCTCCAGCTACATTACAGATGCAGTCAAACATTATTTGATCCTTCTGGAACTTCTCTGGCTTCCTTGCTTGCTTTTCTCATCTCCCTACTAAAAATGATTTACCATAAACGTCCAGTGGCTCATTCCTACACAGGAGACAGACCCCAGTTTCGGAGACTGCAACTTTAGTCAGCAGGTCAGCTGGAAACGCAGGTAGTCTTGTCTGCCAGTATCTAACAGAATCCACTGCCCTTTCTACAAAGAATAATGAATTTCTCATTATGTCAACATTCCCAAAATAATCGAAGGCAAATAAAACGTACCGCGACCCAGAGAAAAATTAAGCAGACGGGGCTACCAGTGGCAATTAGACTGGAAGAAGGAACAAAGGTGTTCGGGAAAGGGGCTGGCACGTGTCACCCGGGACTCACCACGGGTTCCTGCATAACTACTACAGCGACAGGCTGGAGACATGGAAAACAGCACCAGTGAATTGGATTCAGAATGCAATCAGGACCTTGGGAAAAACCAGAGTTAATCATTCGCACTGCTATCTCCAAGGAAAAGGGACAAGGACAAAAAGTATGTGGGAAGTACGAGCACTTGCGGGTTCTGACATGGACAAACGGTATGACCACGTGTTCTGGAAGACGCCACCTTTGAAAGGTAAACTTGCCATACCTAGAGAGTCAACAGGGAGAGACTGCTATTAACAGAGAGATGTGGCAACCAATAAAACGACAAACGAACAAACGAACAAACTCACGTGTGTTTACAACAGACCAGAATGCAAACTCGAAACGGTCAGGAAGAAAATGGAATTACACTCATGCAGAAACAGGGCTCTTCGGTGCTGCGCTTCGCCCCTGCCTCTCGTTCGTGTGTAAACCCATCTTCCCGGCAGGCGAACTGACCCGCGCTGCAGTCATTTCTTCTAGTGCGCCACTTACAGCATAAATGACAAGACCGGGGGAAACAAAAGCTACATGTTTGGGGATCGAGTTGGGCTGACACTCACCACAAACTTCTCACCATTCTGCTCCACATGTTTGTATGTGGGGACCGATATGGGCACTGCTTGCTTTTCTGTGTAATCATAAAATGATTGTCCCAACGAGTCGTCACTGGGGTCTAGGTTATCTGCCTCATGAGGAGGTACAGATAACACTGTCAAGATCAATTCCTTCTCGCCTGCTCGGATCAGGTCCACCACCTGCTTGTGTGTCGCCCCCTCAACATTCACGCCGTTCCTGAGGGGAAAAAGGGAAAAAGACAATCCCATAAACCAGAAGGGTCCAAACACCTCGCGGCTCCACCCTCCTGCCCCCACGCCAGTGTCACACAGAACGAACCGTCACATCAAAAGATTAATTTGGTGCCAGAAAAAGCTGTTTATGTTTTCACAGATCGCGGTGTAAAAAAAAAGAGTTCGAGAACTTAGGGCAGGGGAAAAATGGAAACAGGTGAGAGGACCTGCCCTTCCTCTAGGCGAGAAGCGCACAGAGCTTCAGGAAGGTGCCGGGGAGGGGGGCGGAGGCCGAGGAGGAAACTCTCAAAGCTGAACAGTCCGATTTCCTCATCCGAACTAAGCGTGCATGAAACACAATCCAAATGGCTTTTAATAACTCCGCCATTTGAACTGTCCTTTGTCCTCTTTAAACCTGGAAAATCTGTTGAAGGGAATTTTTCACAAACTGCATTCCCTTACTTTGCAAAGGCCCAAAAAGTATAATTAAGGTTAATGCTTTTACATTTATACCTTATTTCTCCCCACATCTTCAAATTAGTCGACTTAATTTTGCTTTACACCAAGGCCTGTCACCTTGAGAGTTAAATGGTGTGTCTCTACATATACGCTAGTTTCTTCCATCACTCGGTTTTTAAAAGGAACTGATAACCTCTCGAAAATCTGATTGTCTGACCCCGCTCTCTCTGTTCTCCCAATCGCAGGTCTGTGAATCTCTCTTAAAATTCTCTCTACTTCCTTGCCGCGGTGTGCTGCTCCACTTAAAACCCTGTGTAATCAGTTCACACTAAAAAATCTGCATCGAAGGCTCTACAGTCAGTCAGCCTACTCACTCTCCTTCCCGTTTCCCTGTGTATAAAAAGACTGAAACTAGGAAAAGTACAACGTTTGGAAGAACAGTAATTTTGTCAAGAAAGATGCTGAGTCTCACAAAACTCACTCAGCCAACCGAACTACCTTCCAGAATGCTGACCCAGCTTGCTAGCTCAGCAAAAACCACGGGGCAGCTAGCTGACCCAGAGGCTCCCTCCATGGCTATCCCGAGAGTTTAGGCATATATATCTGGCCTTCAGTCAATCTGATAAAATCTATCCACCCGTTAGAGTTAAACTTTTTCAGTCCTTTCCAAACCACTAGGGTTTTCCCTTCCTGAAAATGATGCTAAGTTTAGTAACAGACCTTCCACAAACTTTTCAATCACCAGGATTGTCTCTGTCAGAGTCTGGTATCTGAAATATTCATTTATATAAACAGAACAGGCAGGAGATCACCCAGCCAGCCTCTTTCCTTATTTTAACAATCTAGCTAGTAAATTCAGCACTCCTGACATTTCACAATCTAAAGTCTAACTTTTACACACACACACACACACACACACACACACACACACAAATCAGTAATTTTATAATTGGCTAGCTGCAGAAGAAAATAAAGAGCCCTTTCCACTTGATGGAAATTTGGGCTTTTAAAATCCAGATAAGGTCAGATTAGTGACCAGGAAAAACTGGTCAACTCTTAGATCATACAGCGGGATGGTAAAAAGGAAGCGGGCTTTGGAGTTATTTAACCTTTCTGAGCACTGCTCTTCACATCTGCAAAATGGGGACAATAAGTCGTCCCCTAACAGGGTTGTTGTGGGGATTAACGTAATAAAACGTAACTTGCCGAGAACGGTGCCTAAACACTTACATTTGAAGGCATAAAAAAAAGAAAAAGTACTATGCACCAGTTGGTTATAAAGAAATTTTGGTTAAAGAAGAAATGGGAACCTAATATTGGGACTGGCAAAGGATTTCATCTAAATCTTTGGCTTTATTAGTTCTGAGGAAACGTTTTAGTGGTAGAAGAATAAAACTGAAAAAGCAAAAGTTAAAAAAAAAAAGTTAAAAAGTTAAAAAAATCAACATAAAGAATTTCACCTATCCCTAGTAATCTTAGCTAACTCATGCATATCCTTGCTAACTTTTTTTAAACAAAATGAGGACCGCTTTGAGACAGAACAAAATATCCTGGATACCAAAACAAGATTTTTATGTTAGTACAATTTTCTGAGGCACATATTTGTAAAACATGTTTCAAAACTAATGCTCAAATCTTACCTTTCAGCTCCCTAATTTCTTCCGTTAAAGAATTTTTTTATCTGGGATACTCTGTCAACAGGCTTGGGGGTCAGTGAACAGCTACAAAATTTGTGTGTAAATTGTATTTGTGTGTGTAGATATGCATTTGTTTCCCTCTGGGGTGAAGGTCCACAACTTTCACCAGCTTCAAAAAGGATACGTCATCTCCAGAAAGCTTCAGAACTACACGGTTCCATTTTCACTCTGGAACACCCCACCCCGCTCCTGGGGTCACTCACAGAGACGAGCCCTGAAAACCATCACAGACACCTAAGCGAGGCGTCCTCCAAGAGTCGCCAGGGACTAAGGGAGCCTGCTGAGGCCTCACCTCTTCTTCGGTAAGACCGAGCTTCAGATTGGCTACCATCCCAAAACCTCTTTAAAAAAAAAAAGAAAAAGACAGGAAAAACTACCACTGCCACATCCTAAACATACTTGCTAGAGTTTACTTGGCTCCGCTGTAGAAGGAATGCTGTACAGTCAGTGATTTACTACAAAGCTGGAGATTCCTATATTCTTCAGAGAATGAAATGAGGTCAGTAAAAACCCCAGGATGTCTGATTTCAAAAAGGGCCCTCCCTCCTCGAGAATTAAGATGTCCTCACAGTCATAAAAAATGTTTATACGATAGCCTCCTTTCCACGAGAATGCTACTCTGCCAGGCCCAATTTGCACAATTCTGAAGAAATAAATGAATACAAACCATAAATTCTGCAATAAAGGGAATTTTCAGCAGTCTAGACTTCAAAGAATGGGTTTTCGAGTCAGACAAACAGACTTAGGTTTGAATACTGAGCGTGCTGTTTAACAGATAAGACATCAAGTAAATTATTGTTTCACTAAGCCGCAATATCATAATCCATAAGACAGGGCTAATAACACCAATAGCTAACCGAGTTGCTGTGAGAACGAAAATGAGATAAAGCTCTAGAACATGGCAACCGCTCAATAAATGGTAGCTGTTCCCGGGATAGTATCTGTACCCGTTGTGTGAGCAAGTAGTATTTTGGCCTCCTGATGATATATAACTCTTTCTACCACCAATTCCCCTTGCCTTTCTTCCGTCTCTGCAACATAATCTAGTTGGAATTCACTTGAAAATAAACCAGAGCTCTAAACCAGTGACAATGGGGACCACAAGGCAGTCACCTTCACGAGACAACTGCATCAGAGACCCACTGAGTCTCACGCCAAAGTATCTACTGCCCAGTAGGTTCCACCCACCTACGCTTCTTCCACAAAGACAGGCAGAAGCTGAAACAGACTATCAAAAAATTTTCAATGGTGGGGTGATTAAACAAATACAGCAAAATGTTAATTACAGAATCTAGGGGGTAGGTAGGTATGCAGGTTTCAATGTGCAATTCTTTCAACTTTTCTACATGTTCAACTTTTTCAGAGTAAGATGTAGGGGGGTAAAAAAGAAGCTACTAAAAACCTCCAACGAAATTTTATTTCCTTTGACAACTAGATGATACTCAATTTACTTTGTGTCTTCAGCACTGTAAAGGTACACTCAAAGATTTTAATAAAAGTCTCGTTTTTTACGAGACCAAAATTTGGCCCCGTCGGAGAAGTCTTTAGCTAGCTAATGGGAGTGGCTTTAAGTAAGACTTTTATTCAACTAAAGTTAGCCAGCTGAGGAAATCGCAAAGCTAATATAAACACTCCCAGAAGCAGGAAAAAGCTCTAAATAGTATTTGTTTTCGTGCAGTCCTTTGAAGGAAACTATATATAATGAAACTAGATATGGATGGAAATATGATACAGCCCATCACTATACCACCACAGAAAGAGCCATGCTATGCGGTAAGCGGAGTATTATTCTGACCCCCTGTGACAGGCAAGAAAGTAACCAAAGGGTAATTAGTCCCTCAGAGGCAGCATGTGAAAAATAGACAATAAATTCCTATAACTACAAACAATAAGATATACTTTTGAATTTTGTAGATTAAAACACAATAGCTACATGTCCACAAGCACAGTTCAAATAAACGAGAGAGACAAAACCCAGTTTTGCCGAGGATATGAAAGAACCAGGATTCTCATACATTGCTGACGGGAGCATAAAGCAAAAACAATGTAGCAGTTTCTTATAAGGGCAAACATACATTCGGTACATGCCCTAACAACTCCACTCCTAGGTGTTTACCCAAAAGAGATGAAAACGTGTCCACACAAACAAACAATGTAGCTGCATGTTCAATGTCGCTTTAGTCGTAGCAGTCCCAAACTGAAAACAGCCAAATGTCTATCAAAAGGCGAACACATAAATACACTGTGGCATAGTCAGGCGATGGAGTATTAGCAAGAAAAAGGACCAAACGCCCCATACCGATAACATGGATGAATCTCAAACATGCACTGAGCAAAAGTGAGACAGAACAGAGTCTGATCAATTTGATTCTGCTTATTTGAAGTTCCAGAATAGGCAAAACTACAGTGGTAGGAATCAATCGGATCAGTGGGTTTCTTCAGGGGGCACGGGACAGGGGTGGGGGTGGGATGGATGGGATGAGTACTGGATGCAAAGGGACACGAAGAAGCTTTCTGAAGTGATGGAAGCGCTCTGGATCTTGAGTGGGGTGGCGGTTAAATGGGTCTATACTTCAAACTGTCAAAACTCAAACTACACTTAAAATGTGCACTTTTGACTATATGTAAATTAGCCTCAATACAGTTGATTTAAAAGTAAAACTTATTACATCATCATTTATAAATATGAACTGAGTAGTCCATCAGCACGAAACGTAACCCCGATTCTACTTTTAAATTACTCTGAAGTTCTTTGCCACTATGAACAATGCTGTTATGATGAGCCTAGTAGATGAATCTCTACACATCTCTGCAGCATGACGCTGTTTAATGGATAAAACACATTCTTTTTTCTTCACCTCCCATATCTTCACGGAAAATAAGATAAATCTATGT